ACCTTCCAGTTGGTCTGAGCAGTGAGGGCAGTGGAGACCATTTTGGCAGGAGAGGAGGGAATCGACTTGACTTGGCCCGCTTTACCCGACAAGTTGACCTGTAGTCGCTTTTTGCACGGTGACATTACGACTGGCAGTAAGCTGGCAGAGCTGGGCAAATCTTCCAACTCGGCGAGGTTTATGACTTGTGCGCTATTGACGCGTGCCTCAATCATTTTATCCGAGTAAATGGTAAAGTCCATCTCCTCGTAGTCGTCCTCGTAGATGTACATTGAGTCAACCATGTTCGTCTCGTTGAAGTAACTTCGCTGCTTTTTGGTTAGTGTCTTTCCCGCCTCGTCAATGAACGTTGCAAACATTTGCGTTTCAACAAAGTGCTGCAGAAATGGCCTTATCACTAGAGGTTGGTCTGACAAGTAGGCGACAGAATCAAACTTGATTTGCTCCTGTTGAATTAAAAACATGAACATCAAACTCTAGAAGTTTAAATTCGTTACCTTCTTCTCCGAAACGTATGCAATGAAATGCTGATATTTGTTGAGAATGTGCTTCTTTAGCTTTTTGAAAAATATAATACGAATTCTTTGATTTAGTTTCGTGTCATCGAGGTACGTAAAGCTCTCTGAGATGATGTACTTGTGTGCCAGCTCCGACACCCTTTTCAGTGCGTCGCTTCGCTGAAAGTTTGAGCATAGTCGAGGGTCGCTGTTGACGACTTCCTGCAGTTCAGTGCGAAGTTCCTCAATGAAGGGCGGGACGAAGAGCGTAAAGGGGTCCATGTTAAGCTCGACCTTATGATTATCACAGTCGACGAAGCAGGCAATCTTGCTCGTCTTGATGAAGTTGCGAATACGTGAGTTGACGCCCATGATGAAGGGCGTTGGAGCGTCCAGGTAGTGCAGGCCCAGTTTGCTCGGCAGTATGGGCACGTAGACGTGCTGCCACTTGAAGGGGTTCAGCAGTGCGATGATGCACTCGGAGATCAACATTAGGTGATAGTAGGAGTGGCCTACGATGAGAATTTGCACCTCATTCAGTGCACAGGTGAAGATGAGGAGGAGGTTGTCGATGCTGAGGATTTCCAGTAAACGTCGAAATGAGTAGTCAAAGAGCGGAAAGATGCTGAAGGGGCGGAAAATGGCCACCGACTTGGCACTGTCGTTGCTGATGCTTCTGAGTGAGTTCTCACTTCGTGATGGACTGCTGAGAAGTGATGATCCTTCATGGTGAGGGTGTTTGCTTGTTGTGATGGCTAAAGAGTAAGAGTATGTTTAGAAAATGGTCAAGTGAAAACTGAGACGAGTGAACTTGCCCTTTGCGTCGGGTAGATGAATAAGGATGCACTTGCCCTTCTGGGGCAGGCGAATGTTGGCCAGACAGCGGAGCCACTTTGGATTGCTGCCTCCCTCATTGACGCACCACTCGAGCAGTTTCTTCAGCTGGTCGACGATAGGGCGGATGGTGATGGCCACCAGGGCCCGACTCATGTACACCACATTGTGCTCGTCACTCTCCTGACTGCGGGCAATCTGCTTGAACCCGTAAATGTAGCTGCCTCCGTAAATTCTCTGTCCATTCTGTACTGTGATCACGAATGAGTGAAACGCTGGCGTAATGGGCTCCTTCTTCAAGAACGGTCCATCTGGCATGGAAAGTAGAGACAACGAGCTGTCATCTACAAAAGGGCAGTCTTCAATTTTCAGACTGACCACTATCTTTCCGTCCATTGTTGCGTCGAGTATTGAGATTTGTGATATCATTTTCAGTCGTTCACTGCAAACAAGTGAAAGCAATTAAAAGTTAGCGACGACGTACACATTCACTCTTCCTCTCTACTTACTGTTTGTTCAGACGACGCGACGGGGTCGATGGACTGGCCATCGGACTGCCTTGGTCCAGGCTGGCCATGATGTCAGGTTGTAGTCGTCGTGTGGCCAACTACGAGTATCACCCCTCAGTGTCAGATCACATGGTGTCGGAAGCTGCAGGAGTTGCTGAAACTGGAGCGAGATCACCGCCGCCAAAGGAGGTCACCAACGGCGAAGAGGTAAACAAACACTGATGAAGCAGGCGTCCTAAATCTTCAGCGAGAGAGAGAGAGAGAGTCTCAAATTTTGGTACACTGCGTTCACAGACTACGGATTTTGAACTGCTGCTCCATTTGGATAGCGGGAACTGTACTGAAATTTCCATTTCTTGGACAAACGAGAGTTGACAAGAAACGAATCATAAAAGTAAAATAAAATTCAAAAAAGTATTTTTGTTGAAAAATGTTTTTAACCGGAAGCAATATTGACTGGTAGTCTCATGTTCATTCGGTTGCCATGGCGACACTCTGAGTAGTTCCTGTAACAGTGCAAACAATATTTGTGCATAACAGTTTGTCTTAAACCGCATTTACCCAAATTGGCAATGGACCCAGTAAAGACGGGCATGGCCCGGCCCATCTCCAGCCGCCCACTTACCTCGGCCCGGGCAATGATAAACACCGGTCTGACGGCACCGAAGTCCTCTCGCGGCAAGACCGCTCTTCGCCGGCAGATTCAGGACAAGAGCTACTTCATCGGTCTGCTGCGCTCGAAGATCAATGAGATCAACGCGGAGAAGAACGTCCTCCTGCGAGAGTGCGACATCATGGCGAAAGAGGAAGCTCGCATCGGCGTCTACCGACAGAAGGCAGAGACGCTCGCCAAGGAACTGAATGACATGAACCTCGAGCTGCTGACCTTCAATGAGTTCCTAGATCGAGTTCGAATTGGCGACGACGTGAGCGGCGTAAAGGAGGACGCGCTGGAGATACGGCACGAAAACGAAGCTCTCATCGCCAATGTACGCTAAGGAGGGCTTGTTGTTGCATCATTCTAACCACTCCTTTATCACCCACAGCTGGAAAATGACTTCTCACGACTAAAAGGCTTTGAGGCGATGATCCGGAAGAACGAGGAGGAGCTGGGGGCGATCACCGGCCGACTGAACGCCCTTCGAAGTCAGTTCAGCGAGGAGCAGCGCACTGAGTTTGGCAGTCTGCAGAAGGCGAGCGTCGAGCTGGGCAAGGAGTGTCAGTCGCTGGAGGGCGAGATTGCCCAGTGGAACGGCCGCAAGGAGGAGGTGCTGGAGAGGACGAACCGAGAGGGCAGTGTCCTCAAGATGCAGATGGTCCAGGCGGTGGCCACTCTGCGCCAGCTGGACAAACAGCGCACCGAACTGACCAGCGCCGACAGTGGAGAGGAGAGCGAGCGGGGGCACCTGCTGGCGCAGGTCAAACGGGACAACAACTACATCGCCTCGCTGGAAGCAAAGACGGAGGCGTTGGCAAAGGCGCTCGAAGAAGCGAACGGTGAGATTGAGTTCTACCGAGATGGGGCAAAGGTCATCAAGTTTGCCGACCTGAAGCAGAAGGAGAAGACCTTTGATGACTTTATGGCGTCTTTCACTGAGGCCAAGGAGGACCGGCGACAGCGCATGGAGACGGTCAACCATGAGATCACCGACATCTCCAACAAGCTGGCTCGCTGTCTGAAGTACCTCAACATTCTCAAGCAGATCAGCGATGTCTCCACTGGGTAAGAGATAGTTGGAGACTGAGCACACTTCTGGTGACACTATTTAACATCTAGGGCGTACAACATCCTCAACGAGCTGATCATCCAGAAGCGCAAACTGGAGCTGGAGCTAAACAAGAACCAGCAGATGACGGCGAAGGCGAGCACTGAGAAGGAGATACTGTCGAACAAGATCGGCAAGCTGCAGGAGAGCATCAACTCCTACTCGGACATCTCCAAGCTGAAGGCACAGGTGGAGGCACGCCTGGAGAACACCAAACAGGCGACGGAGAAGGCCCGGCAGGAGATGGCCGCCGTGAAGTTGCAGATGGAGGGCGTCAGCAGTGAGCTAAGGGAGATTCGAATGGAGCTGGAGAAGAGCGCTGCCTTTGGTGAGGCGAGGCAGCTGGAGGAGAAGTTGCGGGCGCTGTTGCGCGTCAATGAGACCCTCAAGGCGAATGACAAGAGTCAGATGATGGGCGAACTGAAGAGCATCGTCCTCGAAAAGGCAAAGACCTACAATCAGACGTTGATGGGCTTCTAGCTGCCTAGTACCCCAGTGATATAGCAGTAGTAAAGGCGCTTTGTCTGTCATGAGTTTATTTATATTATTAAAAAATGACAACACTTTCTTTACTTCTTCTTGGGCGCAACGGCGGCGGTCTTTTTCGCCTTCTCCGCCTTGTATTCCTTGTATTTGCGGAGCTTCACGCCGAGCACCTTCAGCGCCTTGTCCAACTTCTTCTGCTCCACCTTTTTGCCGCTCTTGGCCTGGCTGATCAGCTCTTTCGCCTGTCGTCGGGCGTCGTTGTTGGCACGGGCCTGCGTTTTCAGGACGATGGAGTGCGGGTTCAGACGGCGCATCACCACCGAGCTCTTCAGTGGGTTTCGCTTCACACCACGACGGATCACCTTGGCACTGCGTAAAAGAAACAAAAACAAACATAAGTAAATGCTGCAGAAAAGGAAAAAATCTAACTGTCGGCTATAAAAGTTCAATCGGTATCAGTCTACTAAACGGTAAATGTAAGTAATCATCTTGGTCATTGCCCAGTAGTTGTCATCAGTGAAAAGTGAACTAAAAGCAAGCTTGGTAAAAGGTGGCAACTAAAAGGGGTACTTACATTCGCGGGCGCAGCACGCTCTGGATCTCATCACTCTTCAAGATGCGCGACAGATCGGTGTTGGCCATCTTGGGCTGGGGCAAGTTGTAGTTGCGCTTGTGCTTCGACTCGGCCTTCCAGGTGCCGTAGATCTCGTCCAGCTTGCGGAAGGCGCTCTCCGTCCAGATGATGAAGCGACCGACATTGCCGCCAGGAGCAAGACGGAGCAGGTTCAGCTTCTCGACGTTGATGGTCTCCACGCCGGGGATGTTGCGGAAGCCACGGGTCAGACCGCTGTCATTGCCGTAGACGACCACCGGGCCGAGGCGCTGCACGCGACGGCGGTTGCGGAGCTTGCCCTTGCCGGCGCGGAAGCGCTTCGACTTGTAAACGCGCTCGACGTCCTTCCAGGCGTTGACCTTCTTCAGAAACTCGACGGCCTGCTTGGTCTTGGAAATCTCCTGGACCTTGTCAGAGACAACCAGAGGGAACTCGGGAACTTCGTTGATGGAGTGTCCTTTAGGGGGAACGTGTTGATGTGTTAGTAAGCAAAGTTCAAGTGATAGAAATAACAAAACTTACCCTTGCTCATAACCAGCGCGGGAACGGCCGAGGCAGCGATAGCCGAGACGACGGCGTATCGGCGCTGGTTGCGGTTGACCTTGCGATGCCAGCGGCGCCACACTCGGATCGGACCGAACATGCGACCACCACGGCACATGTTGCCGAAGGCACCCTGGCCGGAACGGTGAGTGCCGCCACCTCGAACACGGGGAATACGCGCTACGGCACGACCAGTGCCCCATGACTCGGCGCTGGTCTGGTGACCTGTGAGTAAAAAAGAAGACCAGTGTGAACTTTTNCCTGGCCGGAACGGTGAGTGCCGCCACCTCGAACACGGGGAATACGCGCTACGGCACGACCGGTGCCCCATGACTCGGCGCTGGTCTGGTGACCTGTGAGTAAAAAAGAAGACCAGTGTGAACTTTAGTTGCCGAAAAAATTANGCACGACCGGTGCCCCATGACTCGGCGCTGGTCTGGTGACCTGTGAGTAAGAAAGAAGACCAGTGTGAACTTTAGTTGTCAAAAACTTGGGAGGAAAAGAGCTGTATATAAGAGGCACCACTTGGCGAATCGTCAGAACACTAAAAAATGGTTTTGTGATCATATGGGCTCATAAACACGGACCAGTGTTATCATCATGCTAGCCGAAAGTGGGCGCTCAGAACCGGGACACTCACCTGCCTCCTTGGAGACACCATGGGGTTGGCGACGGTTCTTGCGGATGTTGGTGTGCACGTAGTTGACGATGTCAGTGCGGATGGGAGCCCGAAAGACGACCGGCAGCTTGACGCTGGTGCCAGTGCTCTCGCTCTTCTCGCTGTACACCGAGATTAACGGCCGGTACGCTGCCGTGGTCTGTGTGGGAGTAAAGAGTGGTGGTCAAAAGGGACGAGGAGGGCGTCAGTTTGGGCCGGCGTGGCTCCTTACCATTTTGATGCTGTTGATGAGAAACAAGCACGTGCAAAAAGGAAGAGATTTTTGGAGAGCGCTGGCAAGCACAAGCAGTTCCTCTCAATGCGCTTCTGTCGTGGACCTTTCGTAGAGGAGGTGACTTTCGACAACAGCGCCGCCGCCTATGGATTGCTTTTCCTGGC